GGGTTTTATCCCAATTTTTGGGGCTTTTATTCCAAGTTTTGGGGATTTTATCCAAATTTTCGAATTTTACCCAAAATTTTGGAGTTTTTACCCCGAATTTTGGAGTTTTTACCCCAAATTTTGGGGTTTTAACCCCAAATTTTTTGGTTTTCACCCCGGATTTGGTGGATTCCATGGGGAATTTTGGGAATTTGGGGAATTTTGGGCAGGATGATCGCGGGGCTGCTGTCGGGGCTGCTCCTGGGCTCCGCCGGGTACCACGCCGCCCTGGGCTGGAGCTGCCTCAGCATCTTCGTCTTCATGGTGAGCAAATCCCGGGAATTCCGGGAATTCCGGGGGGAAAAAAACCGGGAATTCCTTTTGGAGCGAGGGTCAGGGAAGGTTTGGGGTTTTTTGGGGATTTTTGGGAGAATTTTTAGATTTTTTTGAAATTTTTATTTTTTTATATTTTTGGGATTTTTTTTTTTTTTTTAGTTTTTTTTTTTATTTTTTGGGGGATTTTTTGGGGGATTTTTTTGGGGGGGATTTTGGGATTTTAGAGGGATTTCAGGACCTGAGGAGCTGGAAAAGTTCAATCCCGAGGTTCTGAATCCCAAATTTTCCCGGAATTCCGGCAGATCCGGACGCTGAGGCTGAAGCTGCTCTCGGGAGCCTCAACCAAGGGGATTTTGGGGTCTTTAAATGGGAATTTTAATGGGATTTTAGTGGGAATTTTGGGATTTTAGAGGGGTTTCAGGACCCGAGGAGCTGGAAAAGGCCAATCCCGAGGTTCTGAGTCCCAAATTTTCCCGGAATTCCGGCAGATCCGGACGCTGAGGCTGAAGCTGAGGGGATTTTGGGTTGGATTTGGGGACTTTAAATGGGATTTTAGTGGGGATTTTGGGATTTTAGAGGGGTTTCAGGACCTGAGGAGCTGGAAAAGGCCAATCCCGAGGTTCTGAGTCCCGGATTTTCCCGGAATTCCGCAGATCCGGACGCTGAGGCTGAAGCTGCTCTCGGGAGCCTCAACCAAGGGGATTTTGGGGTCTTTAAATGGGAATTTTAATGGGATTTTAGTGGGAATTTTGGGATTTTAGAGGGATTTCAGGACCCGAGGAGCTGGAAAAGGCCAATCCCGAGGTTCTGAGTCCCGGATTTTCCCGGAATTCCGCAGATCCGGACGCTGAGGCTGAAGCTGCTGGCGGAGCCGGCGGCCGAGGCGCGGAGCCAGCTGCGCCTGTACCTGACCGTGGCCATCGCCGCCGCCCAGCCCCTGCTGATGTACGGCCTCACCTTCCACCTGCTGCGCTGACAGCCCCCAGATCCCGGGAAAAACGGGAAAATCCCGCAATTCTGGAGTTTTCCCAAAAAAATCCCACCCCGGAATCAATAAATGGCTTTTTTTGGGATTTTTTTGGGGTTTTTTTGTTGATTTTTTGGGGTTTTTATCCTGAATTTTGGGTGGTTGGAGGATGGGAGATCATCCCTGAGATCCAGAATTCCCGGGAAAATCCTGGAATTCTGGAGTTTTCCCAAAAAAAGTTTTTTTTGTTGATTTTTTGGGGTTTTTATCCTGAATTTTGGGTGGTTGGAGGATGGGAATTCATCCCTGAGATCCAGAATTCCCGGGAAAATCCTGGAATTATCCCAATTTTTGCTCATTGCGAGTTCAGTTTTCCCCATTTTGGATCATTTTACCACATTTCTGTCCCCTTTTAATTCACTTTATCCCGTTTTTAACTCATTTTTTACCACTTTTAACCAATTTCCCCCCGTTTTTGGTCACATTTTGGTCACTTTAATGGACAGAAATTCACTTTTTCTGCACACCACGATAACACCGAGGGGCAGGGGAGGGGGCCCCGGGTTTGGGGGGGATTTGGGGAATTTGGGGGATATTTTTGGGGCGATTTTGGGGGGTTTTGGGTCACTCCAGGGACTGCAGCATCAGCAGCTGCTTCAGCACCTTGGTCTGGCTCGTCTCGCGGATCTCCCCCGCCAGGAACATCTCGTCCACCACCGTGTACACCTGGGGAAGCCAAAAAACCCCAAAATCAGCCCAAAATCAACCCAAAATCAGCATGAGCACCTCGAAAAACCCCCAAATCGCCCCAAAATCTCCTGAAATTGGCCAAAAGTGCCCAAAATAACGAAAAAAAACCCCCAAATCAGCCCAAAATCGTTGTGGGTGCCGCAAAAATTCCCGAAATCGTCAAAAACTGCCCCAAAATCCCCCTGAAATCGGCCAAAAATGCCCCAGGACCCCTCCCCAAATTAAATGAACACCCCCAGGGACACCCAAATGAACAAAGACCCCTCCCCAAATTAAACAAACACCCCCAGGACCCCCAAAAATACCCCAGGACCCCTCCCCAAATTAAATTAACACC